CTCAGGTAGTGTAGATTCTAGTTTGTTCAAATGATGAATGCCAGGGGGGAGGGTGGTGTTAAATTCAAGCCCAATGTGCTCAGGTGACCGCTGTGGCCCCTGGGTCTCTTGTTTTCTTTTGATCTTATTAAAAAAAATAGCTAAAGAACAAATATTATCTTATATATCCTATATAAACGAAAGCCCAGAAGGCTCATTCGAGATTCAGGTTTCGAAATACGAGATTCGAAATTCGAGTTTCCAGATTCAAGATCCAAATCAACCAATCAAATGGCGGTTAGAGATTCAATTACTCCCCTCTATTATTTTTTTTATTATCAAGGAATTGTTGAGTATATTTATACCGAAGAGGTCATTTGATTAAATTACAATAAAAGAAAAAGTGTTATATATTATCAGAACGAAATTTAAAGAAATATTGGATTTTGGTCTGCAAGGAATGCTTAATCTATAATAGCTTCTTAAATGATATAATTTATATAAAGAATATATATATTTCGTATTATTATCTTTGATTACAGAGTTGATGACATAATTGTTAACTTCGATAAACAGTACATGCCTCCCCCCTTTTTTCCAAACAATAATTTTTTACTATTGAAAATGTTCATCGAAAGGTCGATTGCCAAGCCCACCCCCACCCCCACCCCCACCCAGTTTTGGTGTAGTGGTGCAGTATAGTCAAAGCAGTCTATTCATTTTCCAGTTCTTAGGAGAAAAAAATCTAAGAATTACCCACTTTTCTAAGCTTGTGACATGATATTAAGTCCTTCCAAAGAAAAAATTCTTTGTATCATCTGTCCTTAAGTGGTGGTGTATTAAAAGAAATTAGGTACTAAATGAAGTTCGACCCACCGCCCCTTTCACGCCCCGAAATAGGATTTTTAGGATTATAATAATAATATTTTTGTCTGGCTCCCCCTCCCACCCCATTTTTAAAATCGATGCTACGTCTCTTTAAGAATTAGTACTACAGGTTTCAAGGTGGATAGTGTTTGTGACACGGTATTAGAAAGTGGCCAGTGACCAAGTTTATGAAACAAATAGACAGCCCTTTAAATACGGATGGCTGAAACATGCATGCTTAATAAAGATAATGATTTCTTTTTGTTCAGACCCATTGGGAATAATTAAAAAAAAACCATTGTAAATCCCCTTATCCCCACCCCAACCCCGAAAAATAGGGGTTATCATGGTTATTGGACGTTATTTTTAAATGGACATAAGCATAAAGTTACTGTTTTCTACAGTATATTATATCGGAAAAAACTATTAGGGGAATGGATATCAATCATTACACAAGTTCATACATCTTCAAGATCAACATCATTGATTCTTGATCTTTATTTTCATGTAAATTTTTGTAAACTTTTCTTACTTCTTGCAAGATCTCTTGTTGTTAGTTTACATATTTGCCATCATTATTAATCAAATTGTTGATATTCTTATTGACGTAACTTCGTTTTTCCTGGGGTACAAAAATATTTTTAGGTTTCCCGATAGAGGAAATACATAAAAATTTAGTCTTCAATTACTTATCTTTGTCTAAGGCTTTGATTACTTGAATTGATTAAAAATTATAGATACAATATAGACTGGAATTTATTTCATTTTATATCAAATGTGTCTAGCTTAGCTGCAGAACTGTGGCGTTATTGTTTTATATTTTAGTCTCTGACCATAGTGTTATGGTCAAAGACTGAAATATACTAGTAAAACCATAACGCTCATTTCACTGGGGGGATGAGGGGGGCACAGCCATACATTATCAGTTTTCAACTACCGAAAATTTCTTGACAACCAAAAAAAAAAAGAAAAAAAAGTCATTATTGAGGTGGCACAAAATTAAGGGGGCACAAGCATATAGTAGTTATATAATTATATCGGCAAAATTAGGGGGTTACAATGTAAAGAAATGTACCCTAATTAGCATTTCATATAAATAATAATTCTCTCCCTCATCAATGTTCTTATAGAAAAAATTGTCGACCTACTAATTCCGCAATTCAACGATAAGGCCATATAATATTCTACATAAGTATCTATTGTTTTGTTTAATGAGGAAAAATAAGCAAATGACCAATTTGTTATAAATATATTCAACCATTTCTTGATAGTAAAAACATAATAAAGGGGAGCAATCAAATGTTGAACCTGCCTTTTGATTGACTAGTTCGGATCTTGAATCTCGAAACTCGAATTTTGAATCTCGTATTTCGAAACTTGAATCTCGAATGAGCCTTCTGGGCTTTCGTACGTCTATACTAACCCATCCGTTTTACATTTTTATACCTGCATTCTAGAAAAAAACAGATATAGTTATATAACTATCAAATTTTATGATAAACGTGAGGATGTTAACTTTTCAATCGTCATAAGAACAACTCCCTATTTATTCAGCAATATATATTACATGTAAATCAGAATGGATTTATATAGTTTTATGCTAAGAATTTAATATACTTTAAAATGAACTTAAGGAGATAACGATCAATATTCAGGATCAAATATCGATCGATCCATAAAACAATACAAAATAGGAGCAGAGCAAACACTGACCTCCAAATCATCATTGTAACATACATCCGATACATTTAATCCATTCTCACAAGATGTCAACGTCTTCTTTGTCAATTTTCATGTCAGTTTGAAACAATTTCGATTACCTAAAATAATTTATTATACTTCTGTTAAAATGTTTCCTACATGTATATAAATTTAAGAAGGTAAAATGACTATTTTTCATAGTCTGAAAATTTCCATGCATAGAAAGCTATACCCTGGTGTATAGTTTTTTCTATCAACCTCGGATTATTTTCATGCACTTTTTGCCGCCAATTTCAATTTTCAGCATTAAATCTAGTCTGATGATGTCATAATGACGTCAGTAGCATTGTGACGTCATTAGAATTTTAGCTCATTCTTGAAATATTATCTAAAATACAGCCCTCAGAAAAAATTCAACCCTCAAAAATTATAATATACATCAGTATTATAAAATACTTATTCACTGGTTGTGAGTGGGATAACTCTTTCATCAAACCCTTAACAGTAACTATTCCCCTCGGGCAAGCCCTCGAGGAAATGTTCCCTGTCGCGGGTTTGATAAAAGAGATATCCCACTCACAACGATTGGATAGGTGTATACTAGTAATATGCATTTTGATAGGATAAAAAAGACAAATGTTTCCAAACTGAAGATACAGAGAAAGATTCAATCGGAACAGATGTGTGTTTTGAACAAAAGGTAAACTAGTTTCAGTTTACTAAAGAATTTAAAAGACATTTTCATGGCAGACTTTTTACTTTCCTGTTGAAAACTAAAAAAAAAACCTTTATTCACGTGAGTCTTTCTGCACTAGAGTAGAGAGGATCAATGTTTACAGACAGACTTCCCGAAAGAAACAGAAGAAACAAAAGCAAAAAAAAAGACGAGCAAGGTCTGGGTACAGGTGTCTAGCTTTCAGTTTCTCCTTTCTGAAGTAAAAACTTAATATCTAAACGTAGCATTTGTCCATTTTACAATTTGCTTTCTCTTTTCTTTTAGCTTTGTTGTATAGTGAGTTGGTCATTTTTAAATTAATTGTTACAACTACAATTTTGAAACAAGGCCTAAAAATTTGCAAACTTCAAAGACGCGTCTGAAATCAGACAAAAAGCAAGTCATCTTCACAATGCCGAGGTTTTTCATTTCTATGTAAAGACGAAACTCGGACAGATGATACTCTCCTTAGTAATTTGATTATATTTGTCAGTGAAGTAACGCTACTTTTACAAGTCAAAAATTGAGGTACCTTACCAGGCATTTGTACAAGATACCATTTATGCAGCGATCTACATTTATCACGGGGTTTACATCAAAGAATAAACGTTTATGCGCTTAAAATAGAATGTGCAAGCGTATTTTTAAATCCTTGTCAGTTTGAAACAAATTTGGTTACATAAAAAATTGCGTTTTATATGGGAGAAAAAAGACAAATGTTTCCAAACTGAAATTACAGAAAAAGTATCGACCGGAACAGATGTGTGCTTTGTGCAAAAGGTAAACTTGTACAGTACTAGTTTACTGATGTACTTAATGACATTCTCTTTTTTTTTTTTTTTTTTTTTTTTTTGAAACATTTGAAAAACTTTATTCATTTTCCACACTAGAGTACTGAGGATCAATGTCTACAGACAGACTTCCCGAAAGAAACAGAAGCAAAAGAGAAGACGGGCAAGGTCTGGATACAGGTTTCTAGCTTTCAGTTTCTCCTTTCTGAAGTAAAAACTTAATATCTAAACATAGCATTTGTCCATTTTACAATTTGCTTTCTCTTTTCTTTTAGCTTTGTTGTGTTGAGAGAAGATAATTTTTTTTATTTATTGGAAAAAAGCAGATAGAGCCCTAATAAATTAAAGGAAGAAATTAAATACAGAGTTTAGGGTATTTTGCGGACAATTTTAAAGCAGGGCCTTAAAGTTTGCAAACTTCATATAGTCGTCTGAAATCAGACAAACAGCAAGTCATATTCACAAGGTCTTTAAAAACGAAGTTAAGCTTAATATAAGATTCATTGAAAGTAAGAAAATAAAACCTTTACATTCACTGTGTTTTTCTACTAAGCCAGTTATGAAATTGATTTGAAAACCATTTTCGTGTATACCCACGTGCAGAAATATACACGGAGCTTCAAACATGTAAAATGTAAATACTAGTATAAGGAATATTTTAAAGTTTAGCGTGAATTGTTGGTGTGTGAATCACACAGACTTGCACCTAGGCATATTTTTCATGAAGTGCTACATGTAGTATCTTTCTACCGTGCTGTACACCTGGTCTTCTGCCCTTCGGGTTTTATGGAATTTAATCTTGTGACCAATTCGTATTTATACCCCGACAGATAATTTAAAATTATTTCTTAAATGTTTCATGTACATGTGTATTTTTAAACTTGTCAGTTTGAAACAATTTTGATTACATAAAAACATTGCAAGTGCATTTCTATAGAATAAAAAAAGACAAATGTTTCCAAACTGAAGATATAGAGAAAGTTTCGATCGGAACAGATGTGTGCTTTGTACAAAAGGTAATATATTTTCACTTTTTTGATGCAATAAAAGAATTTTTTTCTATAACTGAATTTTTGGTCTTCTTATTTTAAACTTTTAAAAACTTTATTCACGTGAGTCTTTCTATACTAGAGTACAGAGGACCAATGTCTACAGACAGACTTTCCGAAAGTAACAGAAGTCACTAGACCGGAAGAGGAGACGAGCAAGATCGGGGTACCGGTTTGTAGCTTTAAGTTTCCCCTATCTTAAATAAAAACTTAATATCTAAGCATACCATTAGTCCATTATATAATTCAACCTCTCATTTCTTTTATCTTGGTTGTCTAGAAAACTAATCATTTTTGAATTGATTGTTACAACTGGAAATATTCCTAATGGGAGATATTAAATACAGAGAGTACAACTTTGAAACAAGGCCTAAAATTTTGCAAACTTCAAAGACGCGTCTGAAGTCAGGCAAAAAGCAAGTCATCTTCACAATGCCGAGGTTTTTCATTCCCATGTAAAGGCAGATGATACTCTTCTAAGAAATATATAATTTTGACCAAGATTTTTTCATTGAAGTGTAACACGGTGATTGTGTGTTCAAGGTTCTTTATTTCATATGACGAAAGTTGACAATGTTTCTACAATGATGTAATAATAATAATAAAAATTTCTGTTCAACTCTCAGTATAAAAATCTGATGTTTACAATTCTTTGAAATTACTTCACATAGTTGTCAATAATTATTTCATCTAAATTCATTATTCTTGATATTATTCCTCCCATAATAAATACACCGGTCACGGTAGCCTAGTGGTAGAGCGTTCGCTCCAGGGAGACCCGGGTTCGATTCTTATTCGCGGCGCCGCGTCAAACCTAAGACGTAAACATAGGTAGTGACTGTACCTTCGCCAAGCGCTCGGCATTAGAAGTAAAAGTCACGGGTCTTTCGGATATGACCTTAAAAGCGTAGGACCCGTGTCACGGTGGCACGATAAAGAACCCTCACTGCTCAAAGGCCCTGAGTGCCGCCTATAGGTCTAAATTTGAAGCCCTTCACCGGCATACGGTGACGTCTCCGTATGAGTGAAAAATTCTCGAGAGGTACGTTAAACAATATACAATCAATCAATGAATCCCATAATAAATAATGTCATAAAAAAAATATACACACAGCTTTCATACATAATAAACTGACACATTACCTAATCAAGGGGCATGTGTAAAAATACACAACTATAAATATTTATATGATTAAGAAAAACCTTCAATTAATTTAACCTCACGAGTACTATAATCTCCCATGAAATCAATGAACACTTTGACCTCAATAGAGAGACTATTAACAAATTGAAAATATCTTTAAATTAAGTTTAAAATACTTCTTCATGCATGTTTATAATATTTGCATACTTATTTGTTACATACACAAGGTTAGTTGCAATTATGAATGGCAAATTTTCACAAAAATATACTTACATTCACTCTGATAATTTTCCTCCCTCCAACAATGGCTAGGAAAGCACAAGAAAAGACCAGCATGCAACACAGAGTGTCTCTTGTGACATCACCAAAAATATTCACAATTATTTCCAAGCTCAACTTTTTTCATAATATAACGATACTTTTAATAAGAACTTAAAATAAAAACAATTAATAAAAAAATAAACCATTTCAGTAAATACCAAAACTCTAAATCCCATACAATTTCCAGTATTATGTATTATTATTATTTTTCTTTAATGTTTCATATATCTGATTGGCTCAAACTTAATCACATGATCAAACATAATATACAACAGTTGCATAATAATGAAAACCAGATGCAGTATCTGTTTTTAGAAACATCCAGTCTATAAATACTATTGTGACGTCAGCACTATTGTTACTTCACAGAAGAACATTTCCAATTTTAGAAACAGCAGGTTTATAAATTTTTGAAATAGAAACATCCAGTCTATACCACTTTTATACCTGATCATGTGATCTAGTTTGAGCCAATCAGAGGATTGGAACAATATAGAAAATAATAAAAAGTGTATTAGATTGGATGTTTCTATTTTAAAAAATTATAAACCTGCTGTTTCTAAATTTGGAAATGTTCTTCTGTGAACCAACAATAGTGCTGACGTCACAATAGTCTTAATAAACTGGATGTATCTAAAAACAGATACTGCAGCTGGTATTCATTACTGTGACGTCATAATGCATATGACATAACAATACCTTATATGAGAAGGTACTGAGTAGAAAAAAGGATTTTAAGACATTTCTTATTAACCGATAAAAAAAATAATAAAACAATCGAAGCCTTTTGATTCGGTACAATCCCTCGATATATAGACCTTAGGAAAAGCATATCGACCTTGCACTTCGTGCTCGGTCGATATGTTTTCTCTAAGGTCTATATATTGACCTCATCAAAAGACTATATTTGTATTAAATGATACAATGTAAACAAACCAAGCTGGTCCAGTGGGAACATTCCTAAACACGGATCATAAGGCCCCTGGTTCAACTCCCGAAAAATCCAACACTTTAATTTTTATATAAACAAATAATAAATTTTTCAACATAATTTTTCTCCCTCTTACAGAAGTAACGCTACTTTTACAAGTCAAAAATACAGGTACCTTACCAGGCATTTGTGCAAGATACCACTTATGCAGCAATCTATGTTCATCACGGGGTTTATATCTAGTGAACGTTTATGCGCTTAAAATAAAATGTACAAGCGTATTTTTAAATCCTTGTCAGTTTGAAACAAATTCCATTACATAAATAATTGCAATTTATGTAGGAGAAAAAAGACAAATGTTTCCAAACTGAGATTACAGAAAAAGTATCGACCGGAACAGATGTGTGCTTTGTGCAAAAGGTAAACTAGAACAGTATTAGTTTACTGATGTACCTAAATGACATTCTCTGTTTTTTTTTTTCTTCTAAGTTGAAAGTTTTGAAAAACTTTATTCATTTTCCACACTAGAGTACTGAGGATCAATGTCTACAGACAGACTTCCCGAAAGAAACAGAAGCAAAAGAGAAGACGGGCAAGGTCTGGATACAGGTTTCTAGCTTTCAGTTTCTCCTTTCTGAAGTAAAGCTCAACATTTAAACACACCATCACCCCTATGCAAATTGAACCTCTCGTTTCTTTAAGCTTGTTGTCTAGAAAGTTAATCATTCTTTATTTAAGTGATAAAACTGGAAATATCCCTAATGGAAGATATTAAAAAAAAGGACTTTAGGGTATTTGACAAGGCTTAAAATTTTGCAAACTTCACAGACGCATCTGAAATCATACACAACTACAGTGGTCGAGGTTTTCTCATTCTTCTGTGAAGCTGGAAGTACACTAAATATAAGGTTGATTGAAAGTAAGAAAAAAAAATAGATTGGGAGTCAATACGGCTTTAATGTGCGCGAAAAGTTACGATGAAGCAAACTCGAACATATTTGATCTATTCAATGAGTAAAAGTGCATATTTGATTACTATACAAGTACTTCTATTAATTATACCTTAATAGTGATTGCTTGTAGCCCTCCATGATTGAGAATGATGACGTGATAGACGGCTATCCGCCACCAGAACCACCTCATCTTACTAAGTCTGAAGTCTTCAGCAGTCGTGGCTTCTCTGATGTAAAGCAACACGCTCTGCAGGTGCTTTAAGTTTTGTTTAAGAATTAAACGGAGATGTCAGTTCTATAAGAAAACCCTCATATAATACTTGTTTGACATTTTATAATTTACATGCAGGTTCCAGAGATGGAATGCAACAGTTATGAATCTCTGTTAAGATACCTCTGTGGACATTTTGAATCAGACTTTCAGAAAGTGTATGCGATTTTCTGTTGGATTATAAACCGACAGCTTTCTGTTATTGATGAGGACAGGAACAGGGACTCTCCTCTCATGATGCAAGGGAAGGGTACTTCAACTAAGCTGATGAGCAAAATGTGCAGGTAAATCTTAGACATATAATTTTACGTAAATACTTCTAAGAAATGCACAGGTGCTCCTTGCAATGTAATATTTGGAGATAACGAACAGTATTTAAGCTCAAAAGTTCATTCAAACAATGCTAATCAGGAGCAGAGCAAAACAGACCTCTAAAACATCAGAGATTGTATCAGGTACAATTGAGTGAGCATCCCTTGCCAATCGTTCACACTTGCCGTATCTGACAAAGTCATTGTATCAACCATAAACTAAAGAAATGATGACTTTAAATGAGACTGTTGATATTTTTGGGTTTCATCGACTTGTCTGTAAATAACTCATCGTTTTAGAAATTAGTAGGAGAAGCAAGCTCTTGTGCATCGAATCAACTGATAGACATAAACTACCTATGCAAGTGCTAAAGATATGTAACTGCATAAGCTAGGGAAGTTGACAATGGAAAATGTAAAGTCATCATGGTTACCATGAAGGCTTGTTGATAAGGTAACAGCTACCATTATGTCTTTTCCCAGTAAAAAAAAATCCAAAAATGAAACAAATTTGTCAGACTCTTTGGTATCTTTATAATGATATTTCAAGCTCACTAGGATATATCGTATCGATACATAAATGGAAAGTTAATTTGAATCTTTTTTAGCAAAATAATTTTTGAATATAGAGCAGTGACAAGTTAAGCGTCAATGTAATTGAATAACAATGCAGTTATTATTAGCAAGTTACCGTTATCACCTTCAGTTCTCTCTGTGGAACCTTGTGTACCTTTTAATAAATTTATTGGGTTTTTTAACTCAGAATAACTTTTCAAAATTAATTTTGAAAGTAATTTTTTTATTTTATTTCATCTTCTTTGTTTTCAGAAAGATCAACATACCATGTATTACAGTTCAAGGCTATGATAAAAATGGGACGTATGAAGTTGGTGACTTCATGACAAAAGAGAAGCACAGTAGCTGCTGGAACGCTGTATATATAGAAAAGAACTGGTGGTTTGTTTATTGTAACGGGGCGTCGTCGACTTCAAAAGAGGAAAATAGACCTGAGTTCAGAACAGATCAGGAGAGGCAATTAGAGAGTGGGTCCTCTCCTCTCAAAGCACTCTCTCGCGATTTTTACTTTTTAACAGATCCGTCGATTTTTATCCATACTTTCTTTCCGTTTGATGGCCGTTGGCAACTTTTAAGTAAAACAGTAAGTTTGGAAGAGTTTGAATCCCTTCCGTTTCTCTACCCTGCCTTCCATTTCTTAAAACTTGAATTCGTTGATAGGGATATTGCATTCACAGATGCTATTTCAGAAACTTTCAATCTTAAAATCAGAATTCCTCAAATGTCGTTGGGAAAACTGAGTTTCGATTACAAGATTTCTCGTCTAAAACCTCAAGAGCATGAGAGTTTGAATATGAAGAAGTACTCTCTCCATTACATCATTGATGATGTTGCATATTTTGACTTCCGGTTTCCCGCTGCGGCAGTTGGATATTACAAGCTGCAGATTTTTGGCAAAGTTTTGGGTCATGTCACATCTACGATCCCTCTCTGTGATTTTAAGTTAAAATGTGAGAAAGGGATAGATTCACTTGTGCCATTGCCGGTAGATGCTGACGTTGGATGGGGAGGCACGTCTGCTAAACTTGACGAACATGGCGTTGAGGTGGTTTCACATGCCAACGGCCTTTATCCCTGGGTAGAAGATGAAATGAAATTTGAATTTGCTTATCCAGAACATAGTGATGCGAAAGCAGAATTAATGAAAATTGATGAAAATGAAAAACACTTTGAAAAGTCCGTCAACACCGAGAAAAAGGGCCACAACGTTAATGTATCTGTACACCCTCCACTAAATAAACAAGGAGAGTTTGTTTTGAAGATTTATATCCGGGACTCTAATGCCTCAGAATTTGTCAATGTTTGTAATTACCTATTAGAGAGGACAGAGGTTAGTTTATACATATCTTGTCTAAAATTTAAAATTCTATTTTCGGTCGAAATACATTTACTAAGTATTCTGTAAAGTGCACGCACTTTTAAAAATGAATTTAGATAAGTTTTTAGGAAATTACATAGTATATCTTATAACTCATTACCAATTTTTGTAGACGGTCCTCTTGCACCAGATTCTTTTTTTTTTATTTCATTAGAACCAAAGTCAACGGAAGGCAAGAGAACGTCTTCTAAAGTTGCTGAGGTCTGAAGATGTTAAACCGGCAGAAGTTCAGAAAGCCAAAGATGAGTTTCAGAAAAGTGGAGGAAAAGACTTCGGGGAGGTTGCTAAAGCTGAAAGGAAAATGCATAATATGTCACTCAAGAAAGGTAGATATTACATAGAAGATAAAAGTGGGGAAACCCTATTTATCTGCAATCAGTAATCTTTATACCAGGCTGTAATATTCCCTAATGCTCTTTACAACATTTAATTCTTTTTGCAGCTATAGAAGAACTACGAAGATACAACAACCCGCCTGATTCGGTTTTAGACATTGTGCATGCTACATGTATTATTCTTGGTCGAGACGAAAAGGATATTCTGGCAAGTTACCTCCTTGATTTTGTAATCTTCGATAAGTTTTTACGAAAAATTTGTGGATTACTTTTATGCTTAAAACTGTAAAAGTGAATTTTTCATGTTAATTTTTTTATTACTTATTTAGAAATGGAAACGTAAGAAGAGACTCCTTCGTAAGATAGAGGTGACCCTGAGTGAATTTGACTTGAAGCATGTGTCGGCTGATTCCCTGACCAGGGCTAAAGATTTGCTACAGAATATGGACAGTGCCAAGGCCCGAAATTCTAGCGCCGCAGCCGCCGAGCTTTATGACTGGGCATGTATAGTTTGTATTGAGTATTTTCACTGCCATTCTGTATCTGTTATAATTTTCGTGTATTCTAATTTTAAAAAAGCCAGTTTTGTTATTTAATAACTAATATGACCTATAATGTTTGAAATGTTATTTCTGTTCTTATTCAGGTAATCACTTTGATAAAAGAGATGGAGGAACAAAACTAGGGGTGAAGCAGTTGACAACACAGACACGATGAGGATATTTCTGTATAAATCGTGTTACCTGTCTATCTGGCTAGACATCCCTAAACATTGCATATAACTAAAAGAAATGTCAAATAAAACTAAAACTAAACTTTAGTTTTGATGAAAATAAAATATACACACTGAGCAGAGATATCTATTGCTGTACTTTGAACTTAAAGAAAGAGTTCTGTCCAGGAAATGTAATACTAGTTTGGATGCTTTGAATTTAATGAATTCTTACTTGCTTAGTTTCAGTTGTCCTGGTAAATCTGATCTGACCCCTGTTTTAAAAAACATCTTACATTTCTTTTACACAACCATTCCCCAAGAAATTAAAATCCAAGCTTTTTGATATCAAAGACAGCTGATTTTTCAATTAAAATAGAACTCGTAAATTAACTTACCTGGTCATCGGTCATTTGCAAAATTATTTTGTTAAAAAGATTCTGATTGCACACACAAGTACTCTGAAGTTGACATCAAGAAGATGCTTGAGTTTCTGATTGACAATATCTATATGATTTTGGAGACCAGGTCTTCCAACAATCTATTGGTATTCCCATGGAAACCAATTGCACTCCGCTATTGGAAGACCTATTTTTGTATTCATATGAAGCAGAATTTATGCAACATCGTATGCGTGAAAAGAAGAAAATACTTGCTGTGGCCTTCAACTCGACCTTCAGATATATCGACGACGTATTGTCAATTAAGAATGGTAATTTCCATTCCTACGTCGATACGATATATCCAGAAGAGTTTAAGGTTAAAGATACCATAGAGTCTGATACATCTCTTTCATACTTGGATATTTTACATGAAAAAGACATTAATGGTAACCTAACAACCAAGTTATATGAGAAACTTGACGACTTTTACTTTTCTATCGTCAACTTCCCTTACTTATGCAGCAATATACCTTCATCACCTGCGTATGAACAATTTCTAAAACGAGGTCAATTATTGACAAGCAAGTTGATGAAACAAGAATATCAGCAGTCTCGTTTAAAGTAATCATTTCGTAAGTTCTACGGTCGATACAATGACCTTGTCAGCAAATACAATTTATCATTGAGTCAAATGCTGACTGACGTTTTTCATACTAATTGTTAGTCCATTATTTATATACTGAATTGACGACGGATTTTTCTGTTATTTCCCGATCATGACAATGAGCACACGGCGGGTGTGACCGGTCAGCAGGGGATGCTCACTCCTCCATGGTACCTGATCCCACCTCTGATGTTTTAGAGGTCCGTGTTTGCTCTGCTCCTATTTTTTATTGTTTTATGGACTTTGAGATTGATTACTGTTCGTTATCTCCATATCCTTTTTTCAAATAAAATTAATACCATTTTCATTATACTGTAAATTAAAAAGTTGTAAGCAAGATAAATATTGGTCTTAGTCGTAAGTACGAATTCTTTTGTAAAACTGGCCACTGAATAATACATTCTAGGAGATAAAATGATCACAACTGACATTCTGACCTCGGGAACCCTAGGTACATCCATCTGTCAAAATTATAAATAAGATGAATTTGATTCCGAAATCAAATTAAACCTTTTCTTATTGTAAGAGTCATGTTGAAAATGACATATCAAAGCTTTAAAAATTTCTGAGCTTCATTTTTATTTATGAAGCAGTTTATAACTGTCTGTGGTATTAAAAAGCTTGGGGTTTTTTTATTTGTTAGAAATCGATTATAAGGTGTAGAAAAGTTATACGTTTTGATGTTACTGATTTTTCAGGAAATTATGATTTTCAATTTTCAAAATTTAAACGTTCTTGGGGCTTTTGAGAATCCACTTTTGATTTTCACTACTTGTTGAATATTTCTCAGCACACACACTACAGTTTCTCCTCTACAAGATTTAATTTTTTTTTTTTGAAGAGTAAAGATAGGGCTTGTTATAGCAATTGATACTCCCGAAGTTGATCTTTGTAAAGATTATTAAAATATTTATGATAAATACTTCTGCACATCATTTGTTTCTTATTTAATTTTTTTTATATTAGCTTCATTACGTTTGTCATAAAATATAAAAAAACATTCTTTTCAGAAGCCAAATGACCACACCCAAACTTTTCCGACAAATAGACAAAATTGTCTGGGTGCGTCTTTTTATGAGTGAAATACTAGTATTCTCGAGAAGGACGTTAAACAACAAACAAACAAAGAAGCAAATTGAACATCCATTTAGTGTCACATGACATTTTACTTCTCTGCCATGTCGGTATTTATTTCTGTTGAAGACGATCACTCTTCCATTCGTACGCATTTTTTTTTTCAATCAGCTTGAATTGCTTTTGTCACCAAATTTTATTTTTAGCCATTGAATTCACAATAGATTATACAAGATGACATTAAATTATACCAGTGTTGTTTAATCGGAATACCTCGTTCAATCCTATCAAGTTTCACGTTTTACTCCACTGATTCAGAATAACGTTTAAACCTTGCACATGGCAAAATGGTGTCAATTTAATTTTTTTTTTATTTTAACACAATCACAAAAAATCAGTCGTTCTTTACAGATCTTTAAAGAATATTATATTGTGCAGATATAACTGAGAGATTTCCAAGAAATATTAGCGTAAAATTTGCTTAAAATTCTAATGCATATAGTCTTAAGAACAACACTTAAATATAGAGATACGCGAGACAGAGAATAAGAAATTGCAGTCATTACATCTCCATACCTTTGGAAAGATCTGTATGTAACTTATGGGGAACGGAAATCTGGAATTCAGAATGCTGCTTATTCCAGATGTCATATAAGGTAAGAAAAACTTGATATATTTTCAACATGTATTATGTAAAAGTAAATCACTGCAATGCATGTTCTATATGAAAGTAAATAATTCGTAATTTGAACAGCAAAATGCTGTTGAATTTCCAAAATCCTATATTCCGTATTATATTTTCTAGGTTAAAAGTATGGTATCTAGGGAAATAATAATTTCGGGAATTATAGGCACATCCATATATGTCTTCATTTTCCGGTCCAAATGTTCTCGACAAGAACTAAATCCTGCAAATCGTTCAATACATAAGATTAAAGAAGACAAACAAACCCAAAAAGATAATGTCTGCGAGAAACCCATCTGCAAGGAATCCAATGAAATCAGGATAGACTTCTTCACTGATGAGAAGGTATTCCCTTTTTCTCCATTACACTGTAAATTTCTTTTTCAGAGTCTGACTCGCTGAGGTGGTGATTAGTTTTATTCTTTTTTCACGTTTACACAAAAAAGAATAGCTTGCGTAAGTATTTAAGTCTGTGAATAAAAACTTCTTCCGCTAGAAAAGATTTTGTATTTGGACAATTTTAGAGGACAAGTTTATCTATCCTATAGTAATGAATTCGACGACAATGTCTTGTCAAAGACGGCAAAAGTGATTTTCGTCTTTAATTACTGACACAGTCGTGTCATATTTGGATATTTGTACTAGAAAAAGACGATAAATGCAATCTAACAACAAAGCAGTGATAAACATAATTTTAACACCCCCTTACTTCATTATCACCATCATACGGGGTTAGTATCTTTCATTTCATTTTATATACGCATTAGCCATTACGCAAGAGCATGCTCTGAACAATTTCCAAAGCAAGATAGGCTATTATTTACACATTAAGTAGTCCACTGATTCTTTTTTCCGTTTCCCCTGAACATGACAAGTGGAACACGAAGGGAGTGACCGGTCGGCAGTGGATGCTCACCCCTCTATAGCACCTGATCCCACCCCCGATGATTTGGAGGTCCGTGTTTGCTCTGCTCCCATATTGTAATGGACTTTTGAGCTCAAATACTGTTTGTTATGTCCTCATATATATTATCTAATCATTAATTCAAATGATGATTGACGTTTTTTATACTTATTGTTAGACTATTATTTGCACATTGAATTGTCCAAGTTGTTTTTTTTTTTTTTTTTTTTGTTTTGTTTTTTTTTTTTTGTTTATTTGTTTTTGGGTTTTTTTTGTTTTGTTTGTTTGTTTGTTTGTTTTTCTGTTTTTTGTTGTTGTTTTTTTTTTTGTTTGTTTTTTTTACCGGATATCTCGTTCATGACAAGGAGCACATGACGGATTTGACCGGCTGGCAGGTTATGCTCACTCCTCCATGAAACCTGATCTCATGGCACCTCTTGTTAAGGGACTCTTGACCTTGAATACTGTTCGTTATCCTTTTATATTTCATGCTGTACTCTAGAGTTTTCAAGTCTTGTGTTAAAGATTGTAATTTCAATGCTGACATGCAGAATTGTCGACTGATGATTTTTCCATTATTTTTCCATTCAGGTGCCATGGTGGATCAGTCACTTCCACCGTGTGCTCCTTGTCATGATCAGGAAGAAGGGGGTTTGGGGGATCCATAGACAATCCAGTGTGTAAATAATGGATTAATCATAATAATCATAAGTATCAAAAACGTCAGTCAGTCACTGTATCGACAAAAACATGCTAAAATGGTAGTTTGATGCGAGATTGTTGATATACTTGTTTTATCAACTTTTTAGTCAATAGTTTGCCCCGTTTTAGAAACTGTTCAGGAAATAATTGTTATTTTTATAAAAATCCAATGCTTGCTGATTATTTACAAACATTAACAGTATTGCCATAATATTATAATTAAGTACTGTTAAGTACAATCACATCATGTCACAGCTTTTGAACATTTTACAATATTTTTTCCAGAATCATATTGCTGATAAAAAGGATAAAAACAACCATTCTCCTCAAGAAACAGAATGTACTAGCAGTTCCGACATATTCATGTGTGATACCCCTGAAGTAAAACTTATCAGCAGTTCCGACATGTTCACACAGTGTGACCTCCGTGAAGTAGAACAACTTATCAGCAGTTCTGACAAGTTCACACAATGTGAACCACCTAAAGTAGATCAACGTATCATTAGTTCCGACATGTTCACACAGTGTGAACCACCTGAAGAAGAACAACGTATCAGCAGTTCCGACATGTTCACACAGTGTGACCTCCATGA